GACCGTCCTCAGCCCTACGCATACAGCCCTTGACAGTGTGCTCTTTGGGCAGAGTTCTGGCCTCAAATGCACCTTCAGGAGCATTCCTTTGCTCAAGAGGCTGAGTATGGAGGAGGAGAGAAGGCAGGCAAGGGAGGTGGGTTGCTCTGGGTTCCATCCTCACCCTCAATGGTATGGGGCCTTCAAGCTCTTTTGCCTCTCTCTTGGCCTCCTCGCCTATAAAATTCAGTCACACCTACTCATGGGGCAGCAGCTAGTCCCTGGTGATGGGCTCCACGAATGGAGCCTCCTGGTGTTCATGTCTCTGTGCGGTCCCCGGCTATGCTAACTCTGGGTTGGCCCTGCCGCTGCCTGAACTAGAGTGCTGAGTCATGGTGGGCCAGTTACAGGCCTGATCCTTGGGAAGCTCGGCAGCTTCTGCCTCTCTACTTGTGGGGGCCTGAGCCTCCATGTAGGAAGTCCAGGTAGCCTTCAGGAGAGACCACATGGAAAATCCATGTGCAGAGGGAGAGGCCCTAGCACCCCAAGGAGAGGCAGGCCCAGGTGTCCCAATGTCCTGACTGAGCCCAGCCTCCCAGGCACTCCTGCCAAAGCTCCAGGGAAGTGAATGCAGTCACTCCTTGCATTGGAGGTCCAGCCACTGCCACCACCTGACTGCAGCTGGGCGAGACCCTAAACCAGACCAGCAGAGGGACCCTCTAATTGAGCCCCAATGAACCCTTAGAATCATGAGAAATTCAAAAAATGCCTGTTGTTTTAAGCCCTGAGCTTGGGGGCAGTTTGCTATGCAGGGATAGATCACAAGCATGGCGACCCTAAGTGGAGAACAGCTGCTCGGCTCACCCCCCAGCAGGAGTCGCTGAAGAGATGTCCGTTAAGTCTCAACGCAGCTCCTGGGCATGGAGGGTGCTCAAAAATAGCTGGTTTTCTCTATTAAATAAATGCAAACAGGTGGGTTTTCCCGTCTGTGGTGCCCTAAATTAGTCTAAACGCTGACTTCTCATGGGCCCTGGCTCCTGATATTCCTTAAACCCTGATATCCTTAAATCTTTTTTTATTTTTTATTTTTATTGAGATGGAGTCTAACTCTGTCACCCAGGCTGGAGTACAGTGGCCCAATCTTGGTTCACTGCAAGCTCTGCCTCCTTGGGCTCAAGAGATTGCTCCTGCCTCAGCCTCCTGAGTAGCTGGGATTGTTACATGCCACCACGCCTGCTAATTTTTGTATTTTTGTAGCGATGAAGTTTCACCATGTGGGCAGGCTGGGTCTCGAACTCCTTGGGCTCAAGTGATCCGCCCACCTTGGCCTCCCAAAGGGCTTGGAATTACAGGCATGAGCTACTGGACCCAGGCCCCGATATCCTTAACTCTTGTTAACTCCATGGAAGGGGGCTTCAGGCGTGCCAGCCCATTGGCAGAGCCATGTTGCAGATGGGATTTTCACTTCAGCAGACATTTACAGGCCTGTTCTTATGTGCCAGATGCCACGCCAGGCACTGAGGCTCCTGCAGACGGCACTACAGACCAACCACTGATCTCATCGCTGGTACATGGTGGGGAGAAGACAGACATGGAATGAGAAGCTGTAAGTGTGAGTAGTGGTATGGAGAAGTGCAGAAAGGGGAGAGCTTACTTCGGTTTAGTTCAGCTGCAAGTGACGAAGACTAGAAACAACATCACTTAAAGAGGATACAGGTTTATTTTCACCTAAGAGAAATACAGCCTTGGGCAGTCTAGGACTGACAAGGCAGCTCCACAGTCACTCATCAGAGTCTGATGTCTTCTTTCTTTCTGCTCAGCCCTCTTAGCTTGCAATGTCCATCCTCACATTGGTCCCAAGATGGATGCTGGAGCTCCAGCCATCATAGCCACATTCCATGGGGGAAGGGCAAAGAAGAAAGTTCGCCTCCTGGTTTAATTATCCCCCTTTCAAATAACTTTCTCTGAGGCATCCTCTACCCTCAAAGTCTTCTGCTTACACCCACTTGGCTACAGATGTCTGGAAACTTGGGAAATGTAGTGCTTTAGCTGGACCTATTGCTGCCCCAATAATATAATGGTCTGTCAGTCAGGAAGAAAGGGGAAAAGGTTTTGCTTGACAACTGGCATCCTCCACCCCAGGGACCACTCCGAAGCGCAGAAGTGACATTTTTCAACAGAAAGAAAGTTTCAACCAATTAGATAAAGAGCATTAAGATGCAGAGACTCAACCCCCACAGAAAACCCAAAGGTGAGAAATCTCATGAATCCTTCAAGGAATTCACAGGAGTCCAGGGTGAACCTCTTCCCTTCAACGTAATTCCCTCATCTGTTTAGCAGGAGCTTACTTTAGCTTAGGATCTGGGAAAACATGAGTCTCCCCTCCCACCATGAGAAGAAGCTGAGGTTACCATTCACCTTTGGGACTGAGTGAGTTTCCACTTTTCCCTGAGAGCAGACTTGACAGATGAGGGACATGGTGGAGCTGGGGCTCTGAGACGTAAAGCGGGGAAAAGGGGAACTCTTGAAACAAGGAGAGATGGATCCTTGCCTTCCTCTTCTGGATTGAGGGGTCCAGGGGACTCCCTGAAGCAGCAGCTAGGGAGGCTACAGCCGTGAGACTTCTGGCAACTTCCAGGAGGACCCGGCATGCTGCTATCTGTTTGCTGATTTAGTCTAGTAAGTGCATGAAACAGTATTTTGAAATTACAATCTCCTTAGCTCTGGGGTCTATAGCAATGACTCCTCGAAATTCCTTTTGTTCTGATCTCACACATCAATTCAGCATGTGAGGGGGTCTGAAGGGAACTCAATTAGAAATGCAGGCTAGATACATGTTGTTTCCTTTCTCTTTTTCTTTCTCGTTCTTTCTTTTTTTCTTTTGCCTTTCAACACCTGGGGCTTGCCAAGCCCACTTCAAGGAAAGGGGCTGCATTTTAAGTTAGCCCTGTTTTCTGGAACTGGTGGGAACGTCTTCATTTTTTCAGGTTTCCGCCTGTGGTTACCTTGCAAGGCTTCTCAGCCAGGCCCTGCGTGTCCCCTCTCCCGCTGCATCCCGGCTTCCCCTGGCTGGATTCCCTAGCGCATCTGCTGTGGGCTGGGTGCCCAATCGTTTTCCATTAATGCCTCTGGACAGAGAGGCCTACACAGCTGCACAGCTTGTGACGCAACGTACCCGACACATATACTCCCTGCCTGTCCCCGGCCAACCCTGGCCAGAGAGCCATCGGAAACTGGTGTTTACTGGGAAGTGATTTGACTTTGTAACACGGTGACCACAAGCCCCATTCCACTGGCCGACATGGTCCCAAATATTTCCTTCTCTCATGAACTTCCCATTCCCCCTGCCCCCACAGTTGCTGTTTAGAAAAGTGTGGCTCAGGAAGGGGAGGAGAAAGTGGCAGCCTCATAATCTGGGAACGAAAGAGTCTTTGCACACTGTCATTAGAGGTCTGTACATATTGGACAAAATGTTGCTCTCTTGAAAAGTGAGTTATAACTCCTTAAATTTGCCCAGTCAGGATCTGACTCTCGTTTCTTAGAAGGCATTACATCGCTTTAATATGCAACAGTCTAACATAACATTAAATCATTTTTAAAAGTTTCATCTAGTTGATCCTGAGCCAAGGTATTCTTGGGTTGGGTTGCACATCCACCCTTTTGTTTTTTATATGGTTAAAAAGAAACACACGACAAAATACCTATCAAGTGATCTCACCCTTGCTGGTGTCCAAGAGTGATCTCTTGGCTCAGTGGGTCTCTTTGGTTTGTAGGGGCCCCAAAGGATGGCTTCATTTTCAAGACCAGCGAGTATTCTATGTGTGCCCACCACACACACCAGACTGCAGTGTGTGGGGGTGGGAGGAGGTGCCTGGGCCAGGTGCAGAATGGAAAAATCATGGTTTTCCAGGGATGCCAGGGACTTGAAGAGAGAGAGGCTAAGCCAGAGCTGGGAGGAGAGCAAGTGCTTTTGCCCCTTTTATAAGAGATGCTTCAGCAAAGCCTTCACCACACACATCCTCCATTTGCCTTCCACAAAAGGGGACCACTCTTTCACTGTGGCCCCACGTGAGGGCTGCTCTCCTGGGAGTCTTTGTCCTAACTCCTGCACCAAATCTTCTCCTTTGTTTGTCCTCCAGACCATCCTTGGAACCTTTCTTTATTTGTTTGTTTTTGAGAAGGAGTATTGCTCTGTTGCCCAGGCTACAGATTATGTTGATCAGTGTAATAGTGTGATCTCAGCTCACTGCAATCTCTGCCTCCTGGGTTCCAGCGATTCTCCTGCCTCAGCCTCTTGAGTAGCTGGGACTACAGGTGCACACCACCATGCCTGGCTAATTTTTGTATTTTTAGTAGAGACGGGGTTTCACCATGTTGGCCAGGCTGGTCTCGAACTCCTGACCTCAAGTGATCCACCTGCCTTGGCCTCACAAAGTGCTGAAATTACAGGCATGGGCCACTGCACCCAGCCTCTGTGGAACCTTTAGCCCTCAGTCAACTCTGCTTGGGTTAGACTTGGGTGTTCGAATGCCTGTCTCCCCACAGACAGTAAGAAGGGAGCCATGTCTTGGTCACCCAAAGATCTTGATGGCCTTCCAGTGTCCTTTGGTGACTCAGTGAATGCAGCAGAACCCCTCATATGAAGCTGGGGAAGATGGGGAGATGTCACTTCCATTGCCACCTCCCGCCTCCTGCCCAGTGCTCAGCCCAGCCCCACAGCCCCCAACCCCCAGGATCCCCACTTCTCACTTCCTGACTCCACTCCTGCCCAGGCCTTGTCCTGCTGGCCTGGGGATTCCCCCAGCTCACCTTGGTTCTTCAGAATATGTAGTGGGGGTGGTAGAGATACATGTAGGGATATCTGGTAGGTGTGACAACATCCTTCCAGTCTCAGCCACCTCCAGAAGCTGCCTACGCCCTTGAGACTAGGTGATGGTCGGGTGAAGGAGGAAGTGATTAGGGAAGCAGAGACCCAAATGGCTGCCTGAGGGGATAGAATCTCCCGGGAGCACTCTGAGGACTCACTGGATAATCCACACTCTGTCCTCCTCCAGGAACCTGGGCCCTCGAGAGCCTCCTCCTGGGGCCCGTGGATGTGAGCCACCCTGGCCTCTGACCCGATCCTGGACACATCTAGCAGGGCTGGCACCAGCTGCCCCCCAGCAATCCACGAGCCGACTCCAGCCGCCGGGGGCCTGTGTTGCAAGCTGGGTCTCTTCCTGCTCTTGCTGGGCCTGGCCTCTCCTCCCCAGTCGGCTTGGCTGTTCTGGAAACAATGACTGTGGACAGAAACGACTTCTCATGGGGGTTTTGGAAACCGCGGCTGGGCATCAGCAAACAGCTTTTGCACAGGGCAGTGGCTCCCGAGGAGACGCAGAAACGCTGGGAGGCTGGAGGGGAAGTGACAGAGACAATAGGAGGCATTGTGTCTTCTCCCAGGAAGCTCTGCTTTGCATTGCTTCCAAGAAAATTGACTCTGGGGCAGCTCCATCTATTCCAAAGCAACAGCTTTATGTGATTATGTTAGTCCCAGGCTCGGACAAATGCGCCCTTCCTACCTCATTAACAATGCCAGCAGGGCCCAGCTGTGCCATGGGGGGCTCCGTGCCCTAATTCATCAGACAAGGCCGAGTGTAGGAAGTCATAAGAACAATGCATCTTAGAGCAGAAGCTGTCTGTGGAGGGAGTGCAGCTTTGATGTGGGGCATGGCCCTGATTAGGGTTGACGGCTAGGGATGGTCCGTGCTCGGGAAGGTGGCATAAGCCCGGATGGCATTTGGGATGTGGGGTTTTGCACCTGGGTCTGTTGAAGTTTGATGAAGTTTAACACGTGCAAACAGTGGCTTTTGTTCTGCAGGACAAAGGCCTTCCTCGACCTGGGCCCAGGCTGAGACCTTAGTGGTGGCAACGTTTCCTCCCCGTCGCCTCTTGTCACTCTCCTTGTGGAAGTTTAATTAGGACAACGAGCTTTCACAGGCTCATTTCTCACTCCAGCAACTTTCTAACACTTCCTAACGAGGAGGCTGGAGCCTGAGGACTGTGGGGCGGAGAGGGGGCTGTGGGGCTGGCCAGAAAGACCGTTGAGGGGACTGGGAGGGGCTGGGGAAGAGGGGGTGCATGGAGAGGAGCAGAACAGGCACAGAGGAAGCACAAAACCACAGTGGGTCCCTGGAGAACTGTGGATTGATCTGGGAAGAAGAGAAAATAAAACAAATCCTAACTGGTCTTTGTTTTCTGGGTGGCCAGGCAGTAATTTCCCCAAATTCTCTATGGTTCTGGAAAAGAAAGCAAAGGATCAATCACTGTTGACTTTGTGGCCTTCAGAACTGGATCACATGGGCCGTTACTTAACACCTTAAACTCCTCTTACTGCCATGCAAGCCTTTCCCATCCACTGGGTTCTAAATAGAGAGGTTGTGATGACCTGGCCAAGCTCCCAGCCCACTCCTGAACCAGGCTCCACACTTTTTATCCAGGTGTGGACATGGTGGAGTGCCTGGGTAGGGGACGGGGAGCCCACATCAAGGGTGTAATCCTGCTGACCTTGATGGAGATGCTGGCTTTCTTGGGCCTAAAGAGCATGAAGAACTGGGGGTGGAGGGACAGAGGATCCCTGTGTATCCTCACCTGCATCAGTCAGTATAGTTCAGGTTGTGCCACAGTAACACCCAAAATGTGGGTGCTTAAAGACCACACGACTTGTTTCTTCTGCTGCTACATATCCATGGTGGGTCAGCTAACAGCTCTGCTCCACATCACCCCAACCCCTGGCCTCATTGTTTAGAACACTGGCAATTGGTTTGATAGAGGGAGAGAAAGAAGTTGTGAGGGCACACTGGCTCCTGAAGTGCCCTCATGGGGATGACACACCCCAGTCTTGCTCAATTTCAAAGTTGTGTGGATATACGTAACTTCCAAGCCAGAGAGAGAGGTTATCCTACCGTGATTCTGGAAGCTAGAACCATAAATATTTGGTGAGTAGTACTAATAACCTCCTGTTTTAGTTACCTGTTGCTGTGTAACAAATTACTCCAAAACCAAGTGGTTTAAAATCATAACCATTTATTTTTCTTACCTGGCAATCTGGGAGCAGCTTATCCAGAGATTCTGAACCAGAGATTCTGGTTCTGGCTCAGAATCTCTCATGAAGTTATGGTTAAAATGTCAGCCAGGGCTGCAGGCATCTGAAGGCTTGACTGAGGCTGGAGGGTCTGGCTCCAAGATGCCACTCACATGGCTACCGGCAGGAGGCCTCATTGCTTTACCATGCGGATCTCTCCAATGAGCTGCCTGAGGGTACTCATGACATAGAAGCTGGTTTGTCCCAGAGCTAATGATATGAGAGAGAAGGAGAACAAGCAGGAAACCGCAGTGCTGTTTATGACCTCACACACATCACCTCTGCTTTATTTTATGCATGAGAAACAAGGCACTAAATCCAGCCTACATTTTAAGCAGAGGGAAATTAAGCTCCACCTCTTGAAGAAACGAGCATCAAAGGATCTGGGGTCATATCTTAAAACCACCACAGCTACACAAGTTCCCCAGGTGACTATCCGGATACTGGGACCAATATGCCGGGCTGCAGGCCCATCTGGTCCTGGTTCAGCCCAGGCTCTTCATTTGTATCCAGGGCCTCTGTATCCGTCCCTGTCCCTCTCCAACTGAGACAGGAGGAGAAGCCCCAGGAGGGTAAGAGGAGGAGAGTGAGCACCTTTCAAAACAGTCTCATGGTAAACAGAGACAAAGAGAGAGAAGGAAGGGAAGCACGTGAGCCTTTGGCGTCTTTAAACCTTCATATTCTGTGGCTCCCTCTGCAAACTGAGGATACCCACTGATATCTGTGTGGGCTGTCAAGAGGTGCATTTGAACATCTTCCTACCAATAGGAACTTCCTCCCTGGCTGAACACACTTCACCACTGGTGGGTGTGGCCTATTGGAGTCAGGGGTCTCTGCCTGAGCAGACAGAAATGCTCCTTTGTGCAGAAGGTGAGTGAGCAGGTGGGTTCCTCATTACCTAAGTACACACTAAACACACAAGCTTCCCGGGGGATGGGAGTCGATTTTGTGCTACAACAAAATATACCTATCCCTTTGAGTTATGAGTGAAACTTCAGGACTAAGGCTCTACTATCCACCCTGGTACATGTGAGACTCCCGGGAGCAATGTGAAACGATCAGAGCCAGAGACGGAGAGGACAGAGTAAAGGCCCTAAGAGAAAACCCAGCAGGAAGTCGGCGAATTGAGTGAGGGAGGCCAGGCGGGAGATGGGCAAGGCTTGCCTGGCCACAGGCCTGACCCAGAGGCTCTAGCCTGCGATGGGTAGGAAGATTTTCACACACACCCCTTGATGGCCCACACAGACGTTGGTGGGGCATCCTTAATTTGGAGAGGGAGCCGTGAGAATATCAAATGTAGAAAATGACCCCTCCCTGGTTGTTTAGAAAAGCTGTCAGGAAGGCCGGTGGTCTTCTGTTAACCTCCATCTCCTGTGTTTCTAGAATGGCTGGAGTGGGTAGGGGAGGTGTTTTGGGTTCTCACCTTTCCTGGAATTCTGGCCTAGTGAGAGCTCCGTGAATGAAGGCTCCCCTCTGGGACCCTCGGGGGGCTGCGTGTAAGTGGGGAGGGCCGGGGCAGTGCCGTCCCAGAGGACAGGCACACAGAGTGCAGTGGGGCCACTGTGGACTGGGGAGGTTTGCTGGCCACGAGGCAGCAGATTTCCTGACATAGCCTTACTATTTGCTTTTTGGTCAATAATTAGAAAAAGTATTGGAAAGAGAGAATATCTGGAATGAGGCCTAAAGAAAAGTTCAGGGGACTTACCGGAGCCAGTAGTCTTGTCCTACATGTGATGCTCTATGTGGCTGAGAACTGGGCTGGAGGGTACTGGAGTTGGCCTGACCCCAGGAAAGCCTTGTCTGTCCATGCACATGAGGTGGGAAGCCCCGAGGGACTGAGCTTCCCCGCCAGAGCCACTGCCCCTTGTCCTGGGCAGCAAGGGTGGGAAACAGTTACCCTAGCAATGCCCCAGGGTCTACCAGAGCTTGTTCAGCCTGGGCCAGTTCCTTTCTTGGGGGTAGCTTTTTCCCTTTTCATCTTTTCTTTTCCTATCTTTCCTGCTACTAAGTCTTCATGTCCCCCTTTTGCAAACACTTGAGACTTTGCTTTCAATGATGAGACCGAACCCTTGTTGCCCATCAAAAAGTGGTGAATGAACTCCTGGTGGGAGTGATGAATGCTACAACTCATGGGAAATGGTTTGGCAGAATCTACCAAAGCTGCACATCCTCTGTGGTCTGGGAAGTTCACTCTTAGTTATACACCCAAGGAAGAAAGTGCTTTCACCCAGAGGTGTGGACGAGAATGTTCACAGTAGCTTTATTCCTGGGAGTGATAACTGGGAAGCACCCCAATATCCACAAAAGGTAGAACAGATAAATAAATATTCACGCACAGGAACACTCACTGCAGTGAAAATGTAAGAGCCCAGCTCTACAGAGCAACACAGATGGACCTCAGCCATGTACCCTTGAGAGAAAGAAGCCTGCCAGCCAGAGTGTATATAACATTCATAGCTCCAGTTACGGAAAATCCAAAGACCGGCAAAACCCTTCTGGGGGATAGAAATTAGGACGGTGGCTCCCTCAGGTGGGGTCTTGACAGGGAGGGGTCTGAGGGTCTGAGAGCCTTCAGGGGCAGGAAATGTTCTATTTCTTGATATTGGTGGTGGTGACACAGACATGCACATAGGTGAAAAATTCATCAAGATATGCCTTTCAGATGTATGTACTTCACTGTACACGTGTGATACTTAGAAAGTAAAAGAAAGGTAAAATAAGGGGCAAACAGGTTTTCTGTATGTTCTGGGCTTTTTGGAGATTTTAAGCAATGTTTCCTTAACAATGAAGAATTGACCATTCCATAAAAAAACAGTGTACATGTCACTTTGCCTGCTGGACTTTGGAGTCTTTCCAGGAAGAAATAATTTTAGGGGAAAGTGACACTCTAGTTGTAGAACTTTCTCCCACTGAGGAGGCTATCCCTGCCCCCTCCCCGCCCTGTTGAGGTTTGAGCAGCAGCAAATAGTTTCAACTTTCAGATGTCATCTTTCAAGCAAAGAGTTTTCATTATGGTCTAATTACCTTGGCTATTAGAAACAGGAAACGAATAGCTAAGCTATTGAACTTGGGGAAAAGAAGAGAACAGCTTCCTACCAATACTTTTAAAGCTTCAGAAAGATCACTGCCCAGTCTCCTCAGGGCTATTAGGTATGTTCAAACTTTGCGTAATTATATATTTTACAAAGAAACCAAAGAAAGAACGAATCCAAGACAGTGTCGTTTAAATCTTTCAGATAAATAAAAATAAATATGTGGTTGGAAGCTATAAATAAATACATTTTATATTTTAAAATGCCTAATTACATATTTGCTTAAGGAATTTCAGCACATTGTGGTAAAATTAATGTACATAGTATATTTCCCTCCTG